CCTCCATTAAGGATTTTGGGCACATTCATGTACCCAGCATGTTTCTCAAGCTACCAGACCCAAGACTCAAACTGTAAGAGAGACAACAGCCTCAACAGAGACACCTGCCATAATCCAGAGACCCCTGCATAATTCCCACCCAGCCAGGCTCATGGATGTGCACAACCTGCATGTGCAAGTCTATCAGAGAACAGAGCCCCTGATCTTCCACATGGATCCAACATCATCAAGAGCTCCTTGCAGCTGCCCAATCTAGCTGGCCCAACAAGGCTATATTTTCAACAGTCTTCCATTTCCATTATATCACAATATCTATCTGATATCTTAGTGACTAGTAATATCTTTAGGTTCCATAGATAAGTGAACATTTAAAACTAAAGGACAAAATATGATTTCTATTCCAGTTGTAATTAGTTTCCAGTAGAATAGAATTAATTTGCATATTTTTCTCTCTGTCTTTTGCATTAACATCCTGACAGCTTTTAACTGTATTGTCGCCCTACCATCTCTTCGTTTAATATCTTCTGAGCACCTATACTGTCAAAGCTTTGTGCTAAGCACTGGGGACACAGCTATGAATAACACAGACTCTCGGACACCAAAAACTTAATGTCTGAGCAGTAACAAGTATATAAAATCCCTTTAAATGAGTTAAGAGTCCAGGGAATCTACAGTGAATATTTTTCACACAACAAACAAAATTCAGGCTTTTATAACATTCTGTTGACATAGCTACCATTCAAGAATTAGCATTATTGTTAGAGTTCCTACCAAAAAAAAAAAAAAAACTGATAGAACTATTTCAGTTAACGCTTCTCTATTTCGCATCTTTTAAAAGAAGTTCTTTTGTATACTTCTCCCATGAGAGAGGAAGACAGAAAGTGAGAAAGAGGTAGGTACCTCCCCAACAGGGCCCCCATCGCCCCTCCAGTCTCAGCCAGCCAGGATCACTTGCACAAGGAGACCTTGGGAAGTGAACCTGGAATCTTCCCATACAGTGGCATGTGGGTGCCTGGGATCCTGAGGGCTTGGCAAATGGCCTCAGCGTTGAGGAACATTGCTATCACTGTGCCACCACAGTTGGCCTCTATTTCCCATCTTGAACTGTACACAAGGAGATTCAAGATAGGCATCACTTGATATAATCAACTGATTAATCATTAGCTCTCTTTCCTTCTCCCAGCTGCCTCCCCAGCTTCTCACTTTTCTGAAAGGCAGATCTGGACAAGCTGCTGCCAACACTGGGCTAGCGCGAGTGCAAACAGTCCAGCCTCTGTAACTCAGCTTCCCTTTCATGTTCCGAACATGTTTCTCTCATCTCAGTAATCAGTGTATCTTCCACGCCCTCCACTGGGAAATCAAAAATTTCTATTCAGC